AACCGCAGTATCTCACAAAAGCCCTGGCGCGCATAAAAGCGAAAGCGGCTGCCGACTTTAGCCTGAGCCTGGTCCGGGTCCGGGTCCGGGTCCTGGTCTGGGCTCGGGCCCTCATCAGCGCTGTGAAAATGCGCTGTAACTCTTTTCAAATAATAATTAACAATTTATTCCCCAAACAGAATACACACTGCGAATGTGTATGCACACACACACACACACACACACACCAGCAGGCAATCTGAATGCGAATGACGTGCTGTCAACGTTAGTCATATCATTAGAGGCAACGTGTTGCTGACTTTTTGGGGTTTCGACGGCTCAACTGGGGAATCAAATGGTGCACTGTTCAAAAAACAGGGCAACTCAATGAAAATAAAAGAAAAACAGATTCTTTATTCATAAATATTAAAGTGTAATTAGAGATTTTAAGTAAAATAATAATAAAAACTAACTTAAATTAATAAAAGCGACAATAATCGATTTCTATAAAGATCATAAAATATCTTCCGTCTTAGCGATTTGAAGATGGTTGTCAATGCGCAAACGAAATATATTGATAGTATTTTCTGAAACTTAGTTATTTTACTAAAAATATATTTATTGCATGGAAATGCATCTTTACTCTAACTAATATTTTCAATAGAAATACCCTACCCTATTTATTTATTTAGAGCATTACAATAAATACACCATTCCAATAACTTGATCCATAATATTTATAACTCTTTGAAATCTAAATTATATGCACATATTATAATTATATTTCCGTGTACATAATCGATAGCCATGATAGCCACGCCATGTGTAGAATGTTATAATATCTCACACAAAGCAGCTGACTCGACCTGTACTCGACCTGTACAAAGTGCTGGATGTACCAGCCTGTTACAATACAATCTATTATATTTTAATGAATAAAATTATGTTGAAACCAAACACCTTATTAAACGCATCAAATACAGGTAGATAGGTCAAGTTTTGTTTTGCTAATAAGAATTTGCTTTAGTTAATATATTTCATAGGTCTTTCTTTTGTCTTATCTGTTTTTTTTCATAGCTTGTCAAAAGCTAAGTCGTCTTTCGACGACCAGCCTATACCGCAAGCTGTTAGCCACAGATATCATTTCGCTGGGCAAAATATTAACTTGGGCAGCACACTTCTCCAGTACGGCAATCAAGGATGAGGAAAAACTTACACAACTCATTGGAAACAAGAGCTCACAAAGGTTGCATTGCAAAGGCATAATATTTTAAACCATCGTGGCACCCATATAGACCTATGGCATTTAACTCTGGGGAACTGCATCGAAAACACAGCTGACCGAAATAAGGTAGGTTCAGTCGATGACGACGAGACGCATCAGTGGCCGCCCATGGTAGGTCAAAAACTCGGTGATCAAAAAAGACCGGAAACTCACCAAGATAGATGAGGAAATCAAGCACCTCTCTAGTAGGTACAACGACCTAGTCCATCACCCCATCGCAGCTGCAAGACAACTGTTACAACCGCAAGAAGACTGAATAGATTAAGAACCGCCGACCTACCAAATGGGAAAATTCAATAGTAAAAATATAATAAAAATTCTCAATCTCAGGCTTGGCGAACATTAACACACATAATATATAAGATCTCTAATCGAAATAATAAAATGAAAGAAAAAAAAACTAACCCTTGGGATTTATTTTCACATAGTTTTGCTATATGCCTTTTTATTTGGCAAACTTAAGGTATTTTATTTCTTGTGTTTTTACTAAAGCACAATTTATTTATTTTTTCTTCAATATATTTAGACTCACCTTGAAAACGTCAATAGCAACAAACTCAGCTTTCGCTTGGTCAGCTGTGGAGTTTCTAAATGTCCTTATACACTATATTAAATTAATATATATAATTCGGATTATAATTTATCATAAAGTATTTCAATTTATATCAATTTTACATCAATTTTATGCTATATTCCTATACATTTTCATCATATTTGCATTCCACCAAGTTTGCAGAAATATATATTTTTTGTACAGTGTAGTTTTAGAAAAAATATTAGCAGAAGCTGACGCTGATGTTGATGCTGATGCTGTTGCCGCTGCCACTCGAGTTCATCTCATTTTTCGCCAGGCGCACGGCGAACACATTTATGTGTGGGCGCTCGAAAGTATGCAACTATATTTGTGTTTTTGCGGTTTGCTTTTATATTTGTGCAGCACGCACACGCCAACAGACACAGTCAAACAGGCACACACAGACACACTGGCACACACTCACGCACAGTCGTTGAGCAGAGTCAAATGCATGTGTACAACATTCCACAACATGTCAAGCGGAAGTGAGTGTCTTTCATTTTTGTTTGCCCTGTCTCTCCCCCCTTCCCCAGCACACCAAGGTTCACATATATCTTGCTCGGCTACCTATCTCATGTGCTTTCGCCCAGCTCACTTCCACCCAACTCTCACTCGTGTTTTGTCTTTTATTTTGCTAGCAGCCATCGCTGGTCGCTTACTGTTAATTAAAAATGGGCAACCAGCAGGCGATGGCAAATGAGTGGGCGTGGCGCCAGAAATGGGCAAGAATGGGGAAGAAGAAGACGAACAACAAGAAAAAGCTATAGAAGAAGAGAAAGCAGCACCACCACAGGGATAGCCAGGCGAACGCATCGTATGAGCATTTTAATTAGTTTGCATAATTATGTGCGCCACCCGGACCCAGCCCTTGCGCAGCCGGGCGGCTTCTCTTTGACAGCTACACAAATTTACAACAATTCCTTTCAGCTTTAGCAACTTTCTGATACAAACTGTGTGTGCGAGTGTGTGTATTTCCTTTTAGCGTCCAAGGACATTGCGTTTTATGCACGCGTCTCCTCCATTTGCTTCTTCAGGCCATGCATTTTATTGTTGAGTTTATTGATGTTTGTCATATAATTTCTCCTGCCTCTTTTCCTCTCTCTCTTCCACTCACTCTCTCTCTCTCTCTCTCGCTCTCTCTCTCTCTTGCTCACTCTATTTGCTTGCCACCGCCCGCCCCCCTTTTTATTGCAGCTTTATGTGCACAACTTTTGCGCGCGTGCCCTGCCCCTGCCTTTACTGCATGCGTGCTCAATGGGGCATATGCATAACCTCGCTGCTTCGATACTTTCTTACAATTTTTTTAGTATTCACCCCGCCCCCGCTTACAACTCCACAAGCGATACAGTTTGCAAGCCTCAGCAGCAAAGGCAACAAATTGAATTTGAATAATGCGCCATAAAAAAACGCTTTGAAATGCGAAGCGTTGCGATTTGTGTTGCCCGCCGTTTGAGGTTATATTGTAAGAATATTACAAAGATGTACTTTATAAGAATGTGAGCGATTGCAGCTCATGTTTGTATTGCAATTAAGAATAAAGGTAAAGAAAGTTGTGTTGTAAAGCTATATACATTCTTTTACAAAGTAAAATACATTCAATTCTTTTACCTTGTTGACACATGAATATATTTATGGTTGAATTGTGATATTCAGAACAAAAATACATGAAAGAATTGTGAAGGGAACATTTAACATTCATTAAAATAAACCTCTTAATGTCTACTTTATTTCAATTTAATTTACAATACAACAAATTGGTCTGCTTTTTGTAGACCAAAATAATTGTATACATTTTGATGTTAGATAAAAAGTGTTGGATAATAACGACAACAAAAATGGTGTTGAATAATTATATATTTTATATGCTAATATGGCATATGTTTATAAATATATGAATAATTATTCATATATCAATAAAATTTGTTTTGCTTAAATGCAATTTGTTTGTAATTTTTAATATATATTTTTTATATATTGATTCTTATTAGACCATAAACAACGTTGAGTAAAAACCTTAACATGATTTAAGTATTTTCATAAAAAATTAAATATGAATACTTTGTTATGTATACATTATATATTTTAGTGAATAAATGCAATAAAATCTGTTTATTTTTTTAATTCGTATATTATTTATTTATTACACTTTTACATTAGAAGTTTCAGGAATATACATGAATGTTATATTTTACGGTGATTAAGTCTTTAGGTAAGCATCACGTATTAATTTATAATAAAAACAATAAGCAGCAAAAATTTGTTTATTTTTTTATCAGTCCGATGTCTATTTAAATTATTTGTCTTTATATTAGATTTAATTTTTGTTAAATCCAAATCGTAACAAATAAGGGATAAACATGTCTAACATTCGCCATGTGCTGCACGGCATTACACATGGCCTGTCAGAAGCCAACAACAATTGACAGCCTATTAAACTTTAATAAATACAAAATTAATAAAAACAACAACATTTTTGTGCAAATGAGTGCCAACAACAACAACAACAAATACCGTAGCAATTAACAATTTCAAACAGATAACGCAATCAAATCTGCTTTATTTATGCACAGTCTGATAGGTGTGTGAGTGCGTGTATATTTTTTGTAGGCAGTGTTAATAGAGTGGGCAAGAAATCTGTTTGCCCGTGTGCCACATAATTAACAGAGCATAAATAATGACAATGCAACAAAAAAGCGCTTTAACAAATCAATTGAATGTGGATTAAAAACTAAACACAATTCACAAATTTAAAATGCGTAATTACAATTTATACAATTTTAAGCTGCAACAGGAAGCATTTGAAGGTAACTAGACAGAAAAAATATAATGGAATAATGTTGAAAAATTTGAGGAATTTATTTGAATATTAATGTGACAAAGAATTGCGCAAATGGGTAACAGACGAATTCTAAGAAACTATATGGGACTACTGTAAACGAAAGACCTTTTAGCCTGGTGAAGGAAATTTGGAGAAATTTTAAATATCTATTTCTATGTTTGTTCATAATGAAAAGTTTGTAGCCTACTGAAAGCCAACCTATTTCCCTTGGTGGGAGATACACATTAATATATATAAATATATATATTTCTAGCGGGTAAAGCCCGGCCTTGCCCGTTCTTAAAAATCTTTGAAAATGATTTTGAAACTTATCGGACGTTAAACAAACAACTTTCAAACAAATCCAATAATCCAATTTATCACTGTATTTATTCAGTTTTTATGTATAACTTTGAAAACATTTTTGAAGCAAAACGGAAAAAATTAAATTCAAATTTTTTACCGAGGATGCTTTGCGAAAAATGTAAAAAGGGACTCAAATCATTTTTCTTATGGATCCTTGGAAATGAATCCAAGCGCGAAACGTCATTCACCAAATCTTAGACCCCCATTTTCACCAAGGAGGAATACATTTTTGGAAAAGTGTGGAAGCCCCTTCAAATGAATTTAAGCAAAGAACTTTGAAATAGAGTGTGAAGCCGCTTGGATGGTATACAAAAGTGTTTCATACAAATGTTTTTCGCGTTTTTTCCATACTGCAGGTGGAATATCCCGAAACCCCGTCTTACGTGCACTTTCATCACATAAGGTAACTACAGTGAAAATTTCAGCTTCCTAGTTCTTACGGTTTTATATATAAAGATTACTTTCCTTTTAGATGACTCAAAAGTGAATATAAAGCGAATTTAGGAAAACGTCAAGAACCATTAAAAAATTAATAAGTAGATACAAACATCAAATATTCCAGCTATGAGAGTTCATGTTACCCTCTATATCAATTTTTAGTCGATGAAGAGTATAATAACTTCTAAGCAAAGCAGGCTCTTTACTTATATGTATTTCCGGCATGCCACACCTCAATTCCAATTTGGGCCAAGCCACACCTAAATTTATTTGGTTTTCAAAACTATCAGTTGTATAAATATTTGCAGTTGAAGCATATTCACAATATTCAGACACACACATATATCTAATTCAATTGAATTCCATTCAGAATTCACAAAATTCTTTTCATTATATACCAATCAAATATTCACATATAGCTGAACCTGGGCTAGGGAATAATCAACAGCTTCTCTTCTTTTTATTTGGATATTTCAAGTTGATTACCAATTGTCAGGTGCGTCGTCAATTGATTTCATCTGGACAAGCGGCTCGCTGTATCTATGAATATGTGAATGATTCACAAGATAAATTGAATGTGCCACGAAGCGAACGAAATGAAAAACATTCAAAATAAAAAATAAAAAAAAAATGAAAAGGAAAATAAATAAAATAAAGTGCAGAGAGAAAAGTTTGCCGCAAAACAATTTCTTGATATTTTCTTCTTCATCTACATCGTTGCTGTCAATATTAAATGTATTGTCATTGCAACAATATTACTGGCAGTTGGGCGAGGGGCAGCACAAAGGGGGCGTGCCACATGCGTGGCTGACACTAAACTAGTCGCTGTTGAGTCGCCTTTGACTCGATGACGTTGTCAATGCTGATGATGCGCCATTTCTCAGCAAATTTTTCCAACATCATCAATTTTTTTGTTTTTTATTTTTTTTTATAGATATTTTGTTATCACGATACATTGTTGCTGCTGTTGTTGTTGTTGTTTTTGTTGTATTTTCCTTTGTTATTATTGATATCTATTTGTCAATTTTGCTGTAAATATGTGCACACACAAATTTGTCACTTCGCAAAGAGACGATGATAAAGGCAACGCATAGATGAAGACAATGCATTTTCATATAATAAATGAAATTGTTGAAATTTGATATGTGAATTGTTAATAAAATAATGCACATAACTGACTCAGAAAACGATTTCTATGGGCTATATTACGTTTTTATTTGATTGATAAAATAAATTGAAATGCTGGCTTCTAAAAGCCAAGCTTTATGTTCAATTATGAGCAGGGAATAAAACTTCATGCCTGAAAATAGTTTTACTCGGTTTATTTTTAACTTAAAAGGTGCTTGAAGAAAATTTTATTCGCCTTGTTTCTACCAAAAAATTTAATTTTAATATAATTTTAATGGGCTTAGCTTTAGTTTGTGTTTTCTGCAACTGTCGACCACGAATTTGAGTCGCCTGTTCAAATATAGATTTTTTTGATTTATACCAAATTGTGGTCAAGGGTATTTCGAAACTCAGGCATTTTTGGGCTTTTTATTTATTTGCTAATTTACCACAACAACGTATCCCAAACCAATTAATTTTATTGCATGCGATTTCATATATATTTGCCTAATATTTACAGTTAAGTGGAAGTTTTTGTGTTTCAATTCTTTCATGCTAACTTTTGCGGTCCAAGGTCAGAAAAAAATAAAATAATTGAAAGTATCTATTGCCAAAGGTTAAGCCCTTTGGCAGACTTACATTTAGCTGAATTACACATGTTTTTAGGGGTAACAAAAAACTCGCAATTAAAGAAATTGCTCAACACATCTTTAAAAACAAGATAGTTTATCTAACAAATATATTTATTTAGCTTATTTAATATATTAGAATGAAGAGATTACAAAACCCATTAAATAATATTTCTGAACATTGAAATTATGAACAGCTTCAGTTTTCTAATAAAAATTATTTTCTTGTATCTCGGAATTAACATGGGTTGGCAATTTATGCCATGCTGTTATTAATTATATATAATGCTCCCTATAACTAATATATCATTACATCACCAAACAAATTGTATATATATATATTATAACCGAAATATTAATAAATAATGCCGCGCCATGAGCTGCATGGCAACTGAAGCTGGTAACGGCAGCCCAGCTGCCACGCCCACGCCTGCCTGCTACTTCAACTTGGTTAAAAACTTGCGGCACACATCAAAGTATGCAACATATTTGCAGTTTTGTTGCAAGTGCAGCGACGCTGACGTCAGCGTCGACGGCGTGGCAGAGCGAAGAAGTTGCCAGTTTTAAGTTTCACTTTCGGGCCCAAGTGAATTTATGCGAGAGTGTACGAGAGCGCGCGCGCGTGTATGCGTGTATGTATGTGTGTGTATACGTAGCCTTAAGGTGCACATAACAGTTAAGTAATGGTTAAAAACTTTGGCGGCTACACGGCAACCGCGCCGTCGAGCCAGCCGTGGCACCAGGTAGACTTAATGTGGCACGCATATAACAAGCTATGCGATATAGAAAAGTTGCACGCACACACACGCACTCACACACACACGCAGCACACTTATGCGAGGCTAACAATGTGCAGCTTGTGCAATTGTGGGCGTGTCCTAAGCTGCTCTGTGCGCAACTTTATTAGTTGGCCACCTTTTGGCTTTGGTTAAAGCCCTGGGACTGACTGTTTCACCAAGTTGCCGAGCTTCTCTGTTTTCCGAGTTTTCCTTGATTATGAAACCCTCTGCACATAACTGTAATCAATTTTCTTGCCATGGCCGCCCTCGCCAGCAATTTAAATATTTAATGCCGCACGTTGTGAACTTTGGCAAAGTTTTTCTTTCCAGCTTTTTCTCAACTACTCGTAATTAGCCAAAAAACTAAGCACTTAATTCTTTGGTCTCTCCCAGAAGACGACAAAAAAGCAAATAATCAAAAAATAAAACTGGAAATAAAAGTGAAAATAAAATCATAGTCGAAAATTTAATGAATGCAATTTGTAATAAAACGCATAAGAAGCGAAAAGTCGAAAAGTTTTTTACTTCATTAACGAGCTGATAATAAAAAAAAAAAAAACAAAACCCAACGCGAGTCAAACTATTCGGAAGTGGAGCGAGTCGGTTGGCCAGCTAATAAAATGAATGTTCTGGGCTTTTTGACACTATCATTTCCTCTTTATTCTCTTGCAGAGAGTAATATAAAATTTTCATGAAATAGGTAACACATAGAAGCAGACATCTGCGACTTCATAAAGTACATATATTCTAGTTCAGCATCAATAGAAATAAAATATATCGGAACCGGTCGGATTGAACCGCTATATAATATAGCTGCCTTAGGAAAGAGCGTTTAAGAAGTTTATGGAATACGTTTTTGATTAACAAGATATCTTAGCCAAACTCAGCATTTATAGGTTTAACTATGATCCGTAAATATATACAAAATCTCATCAGCCTGGACATAGATGCATTGGGAACAATACGTCGAAAATTAAGTTTTTGTAAGAACAACTTTCTGCATATAGATATCTCGACTAGCCCCAGCATTTACTATTTAAGCAAAGCTTCGTTGATGTGTACCAAGTCAAATATCTGTCAAAGAGAAAGTCTCATATGGCAAAGTATTCTGTTTTCAAGATATTCTTGTGTACAAATGTATTAAATGTTTGGCGAGCCGGAAATATTCTTAGTATCTTGTTTTAAGCCAACTAAACATGTTGGAAGCGTTCGACTAGGAACTACCCTATACACAGCCAAAAAACTTTTAAGCGACAGCTGTTTTAAATTCCACTATTTATGCTTTAAATTTTTTTTTTTTTAAATTTGGTTTATTTTGCGCTGGAATCGATCAGTGCCTTCTGATCTCTACCAAGCGGAGTTAAGGGTATAGTGTATAGTTATTATTTAATAACTTAAATGATAATTACAGACTTAAAAATATATAACAATAATGGGAAAGGGATGTTTAAGTGATGTGCCTCGTTGGTAGGTCGTCGGGGTGTAGCCTTCGGAGGCGCCTCTCACTGATGGGCTCAGCCAGGGCCCTTGCGGCCGCGTTCGGATGCTGCACCAATTTGTCGGAGTATCGGCTGCTGAAGAAGTTGAGCTGATCTCCGACCTTTGTTAGGCGGAGATCGCGTTCGATGGCGTCTGTTGTTACGTACCATGGCAGGCCAGCAACCTTGCGTGCTGCCTTGGCTTGGACCACTCTTATGCGACGGAGCTGGTGTGCTGATGCCGTGCCCCAAACTTGGATCGCATATGTCCAGATAGGCGTTACCATCGTTTTGATAAGCAGTGTCTTCGTGGATATGTGCAGCTTGCTTTGAGGCTTTAGTAGCCAATCGAGCTTTTGAAGTCTTCTCAGGCATTTTGCTCTCGTTGCTGCGATGTGAGGCCCCCATATGAGCCTTCGATCCAGGTGGACACCCAAGTAGCAGAAAGAGTTGGTCTGCTCAATGGTTCGTCCATCGAACCGTAGCCCCTGGCAGCTGTATGGGCGCAGCGTAAAAGTGACGCAGGCGGACTTGGCACAGTTTATAGCGATGTTCCACATAGCTGTCCAGGTTTCGATCTGCAGCAGCCAGTCCTGCACTGCACTTGTAGCAGCTTGCAGATTTTTGTGGGAGGCTAGGAAGGCAGTGTCGTCCGCATATGTTGCCACCAGCAGTCTCGCAGGGCTGAGGTCTTCATTGCTTTGTCCTTGTGTGGGCAGGTCCGCCGTATACAGCGTGTACAGCATCGGACCGAGGACGCTGCCTTGTGGGACACCTGCTCTGATGCCCTTAATTGCCGACCTTTGGTCTTTAACGGCCACTTTAAAGGTGCGTCCTGCCAGAAAGGAGCTAAGGATGCTGAAGTATGGCGCTGGGAGTATCAGTTTGATCTTGAACAGAAGACCATCGTGCCAGACCTTGTCAAACGCTTGTTTGACATCGAGGAAAACGCCGACGCAGTATTGCTTCTGCTCAAAAGCTTCTAGTACGTGTTTTACTGCCCGGTGGACCTGCTCGGGGCAGCCGTGAGACTTTCTGAAGCCAAACTGATGATCCGGGACCAGGCGCGTGACCTCGTCGAGTTCTAAGAGACGGCTTAGCAGAAGTCGCTCAAAGACTTTTGAGAGCGTCGGCAGAAGGCTTATAGGGCGGTAGGACTCAAGTTGAGTTAGCGGCTTACCGGGTTTGGCGATCATCACAATTTTCGCATGTTTCCATTGCTTCGGAAAGTGGCCAAGGCGGAGCATGGAGTTGAAAATTGTGGCGAGCGCCATGACTCCTTTGCGTGGGAGAGCCTTAGCTGCTCTGTTGTCGATTTCGTCGCATCCTGGGGTCTTCTTTAGCTCAAGCATTTTCAGCTGTGTCCCGATTTCCGCGGGGGAGATGCTTCTTATCGGGAGAGCCATCTGCAGTGGAGCGTCCAGTGATTCGGCTACTTTACGGCGCTGTGCAACATCTGCGAAGTCGAATGGCTTGAAGGTTGTCTCCAAGTAGTCAGCAAACGCGTTGGCCTTTTCCTCGTCCGATCGGAGCCAGAGGCCAGAGTGGTCCGTGATCGGGGAGGTAAAAACTGGTTGCCTCTTAATGCTTCTGGTGAGCTTCCACACTGAAAAGGTGCTGTTGCCGTCATGCCCAGTTGTTTCGAGGAAGCTGTCTAGATTTTCCGTTCGAGTCCTAGCCAGCAGTCGTCTGA